ATTAGTCCATGTTTTTATATAATTGACCCCATGCTAAACTTCCATTTTTTTTCAAACTTTTCATGATCTTTATTATGATTTTGTATGCTATTTATTATAATTGTATAATTATTTGATATTTAATGTAGGGCTACCAGTATATCGATGCATCAACTTTTATGTGTACATGTTCTAAATGAACAAAATTGTATGATTGGTGATTGTTGTAACTTTTGTATTGTAAAATCAACTATTAACTTCCCAATGTATATTAAACTTCCAATACAATTGTATATGCATAGACAAGAGATGAATTTACTTACTAATAGCAATGTACATATTCTCCATTCAGTCTAATGCACCAAGTTCAATTTTGGTTTTCAACAACGATTTGTGTCCCGCAGCATTGCGCGGGTACACAACTAGTATATATATATATATATATATATATATATATATATATATATATATATAACATTGTGGAATTGAAATCCCTATGTATTCACCAGGTTTCCACACCTGATCCACTCAGTTTATTTTATCACAAGTATCGATACGAAGCTACATAACACAGAGAGATTAAAGGAGATGTAAATCGCTAGTTTAAATGAATGTAAGGTCTGTTGATGCTTATGTTTCTGTATTCACGATGACATCCTAAAGTTTTAATATAAACAAAATACATTTCTTCGGAAATGCTTTGGTAATATATTATCATGTTTTTTAGGAACAAATTCCTCAATATTATTCTTTAAAATGAATACTCTGATTTTCAAATAAGCATAAATAAAATTTTTATAATAACCGTGAATTTGAGGATGTTACATAAAGGATGCTTTAACTAGCCAGCAAGTAATTTAGTCCATAAATAGCCTTGCTAAAATGACACTAACGTTATTTAACACGGTATCAAACGTAGAATTATTTACATTCTTTAACATCTCATTTTAGAAATCGATCAATATTACAATTGAAAAATAAGACATTTAAAAAACAATCTTTCAAACCGGATTAGAAATCACATGGAATAAAAAAAATTGACCATACTATAATGCTATGTTTTTATGTGTATTTTTGTTATAAACAGATCAATGATGTTTTGAAAAGGATTTTAAGATGAAACTAAATTATATCGATTTTCAAAAATGGTGGAGATTTTCGATTTTGGTCGGAGGAGAAAGGTGGAGGCTACCGGAAGTGAACAGTGGTGGTGGTGTCGGTGATGAACAATGTTGGTGAGGATCAAATACAAAAGAAATTGAAATCATAGGGACCATTATCGTAATTTTGGATAACTAGTTAATGATAGATCTATTAAATACTAACAGAAGTGACTTAATAAATCGGTAAGTTGTAAGTTTAATGACGTATTACGCAAAAAAAAAATACATTAGTGACTAAATAGGATAAATCACAATAGTTGATTGTACTACAGTTACATTTGCCTTAAATTAAACGAAGATTCTTATCCACCAAACTCATTTATGGTTTTTGATATAAATATCATGACACAATAATAGTGTTGTAGAAAATATTAGTGGCCAATCAATTGGTTGGTTTCATGCGGTTAATAATTTATCAAAAAATCTATTGAGACATTGTATTTGTAGTGGTGCCTAATTTGGCTCCTAAAAACTATACGATTAGAAATTAGCCATCGAGCACTACTAGAAAAATAGTGATCTAATACGGTTGAATATATACATATAATACAGATGATGAACCGTATTTATAGAGGGGAGAATTAGATTAAACAACCAAATAGAGTACGGTCATTTAACCGTAATCTATATTCCATTCCAGCCATAAATCAAAACATCAAAACCACAATCTAATACGGTCATAAATCAATACAATACATGCATATAACCGTACTATATTACAAATACATAACTACAATCTAATACAATCACATATGCATATAACCGTACTATATTACACATACAACAGTACTATATTACAAATACAACCGTACTATATTACACATACATAACTAAGATCTAATATAATTACGCTATATATGATTGATTCCCTAGCCCATTCCAGCCATAATCCCTGCCAACCAAACCTACTATATGATTTCATTTCCTCCCTACTAAATATGATTCCATTCCAACCAAAAGAAAATTAAAGTGGGACAGCATTGATCTTGTTTTCATTTTCAGAAACAAAGAAAAACAAACAATGAACCACTTAGTTCATTAAACATAAAAACATTAATATTCTTTCATACTTATCTGGTATATACAATTTAACAGACTATCATTTGTATACCTAGTAGATTAAACATAAAAACATTCTTAAATTTGTTGAATGTCACACATCTGACCTCTCTTTCCTCATTTGTGGCTGATTCATTGTATGCCTGCAAAAACAAGAAAACTTAGGATTTAATATCCTAATTTTTTTTTAATAGGACCAATATGAAGAAAACTCAAATTATAGAACTTTCATGCCATTAACTTTATAAGTATAGAAAAGCTCCACTTGTGTGAGACATTAAATATAAATGAAAATAATAGTCACTGATGCATGTGATTAGATATAAAAGTACCTTACTAAGAGTAATTGAATCTTGGGGCCATTAAATTTCTATTACAACTTCAATGCAAGATCCTTATCTCTAGCAAGCCCTAGCATTCTTATAGGTGTTCCCATGTGGTCCAACAACAATATGGGGATATTTATTCTTTAGCAGCTCCTTATGTGTCCTTATGTTGACTCCTCCACAAAAGACAACAACTTTAAGATCAGGCAAGTATCTACTGAACCTTTCAAACTCATGGCAGATCTATATGACCAAAAACGCAAAAAGTGAGACATGGATGAAAATTAACATTATCTAATTGTTGGAGGTTACAAATAAAAATCTAACTTGATAAGCTAGTTCTCAGGTGTGGCAGATGACAAGTGCAACAACTTGACCTGCAACAGGCTCGATTTGTTGTAGTGTAGATAGAACAAAAGCTTCAGTTTCCCCGTTCCAAACTTAATATGCACTCATTTTGCACTGATGAACCTCAAAGTTTATTTTTTTTTACAAATTTACTTGGCATTATACAACGCTACAAATTATGTTGATATTGTGATAGTGACACCATTTCTTAGTAATCCTAAGAAAGATAGTGACAAAACTTGTTAAATTTCCATCGTTATCTTACATTTTCTAAAATTTCTATCAAGAGCACAAGATCTTATAATATATTACTATTACCATCATGGTAGTTTCCGAAAGTTAAAATTTTCTAAGTAGTATTATGGACTATATCACATATCTTAGAATCCATATCATTATTTACATGTACTAGACCCTACATATAATACCATTAAACAGAATATACCAAGAGGAGGGATGGTAATGCAACATCAAAGTCGTAATTAACTGATCTAGATTGACTTGAAAGGGGATCATGATTAGCAAAAACCTCTTGCATAAAAGGAACACTCCTCCATCTACTAGCAATATTTAGTTTCCAAAAGATGAAAGAGTTCAATGAAGATACAGATATGCAAACACAACCACAAATATAAGTTAATGATGCATATACACACACAAATATACAAGAAATATGCATAAAATAGCAAGCTTTCAGATCACCTCATATGTGACGATTTAATCATGAAATGTCAAATCCATAGATTAGTCGACGTAGACGATAAAAAGAGTCCTCAATCCCTATAACTCTATTGATCGAAATATATCGTCCCTCAGTAGCAACTACCAACTAAGGAATATAAAGGATCATCAGTACAATTAGTTCGTGTATATGTTGAATCACTAGGTTAATAAAATGCATAAGTTCAATTTTAACCAATCTGTGATCAATCTTACAAAAAATTCAAAGATTTCTTACAAAAAATTCATAGATTTCTCTATATCTAGCACTAATACGAATCTGTTATAAATATAAGTAAAGTGTTGATGAACAAGTGAAAGTTACCGTTTCAAGCACAAAAGGCGTTTGTGACGTTTCAAACATTAGCTAATCAACAAAGTAGTAACAAATCAGAGAAGCGATAAAACAGAGAAACTCGATTTGTTTGAAGGGATGAAGTTAGTGTTGTCGTTAGGATCTAAGCAAATCGTGACTTTGGGAAAATGAAGTGTCGTCGATAGAGTAATTGATTTTCATGTGTTACTCACATGAATGTGTTGGGAAGATGATATGGAAATAGCAGTGGATGACCTAGAAATTGGTAAGATGAAAAGAATTGAAAATAGCGGGTTAATTACTTCATTCCCGCCTAACTTAAGCAAGAACAAAATTGCTATGGAAACCAATAAACAAATACACAATGTCTGATAATAAAGTGCTATTAATAGAGTAAATGATTATAAAGTGCTTTTATTGAGTAAATGAGCTGTATTTATTGTTTATATACCAAAGGGTTTCTCGTCCAGCGGTATCCGATGTTGCCCTCACTTCTTGAGGTTGAGGGTTCAAGTCCCGTGAATGACATAGGTGGAGAATTAAGAGTAGTGTAGGATTAGATTAGATTTGTCGTTAAAAAAATTATTATTTATATAATACGGTTTTCTATATAACCAAAAACATGATTTCAACCACTTGATCAAGAACATTGCATTCAGATAGGATAGAAATTAAAAAAATAGAATCACCGTTCTTAAACATGAAACAATTGTATAAATTGAAAAATAATGACCTATAGCATATTGACAATTAATGGTCACATAAAACAATTTCTCATTTAATTCGATACGCATTTCAATTAAATAAAATGATACACAAGATAAAACTTATCATCTGGATAACAATGTTAATTTCTCATTTAGAAAACCTATGAATTATTTTATTACATTTTTTTATAATGGTCCAAAATCATACGTACGCTAAATGGAATATTTAAAAGGGAAATGATATCAGCAAATGATCACATTTTATGTTTCCAAAATACACCTTTGTGGTGGCTATCTTCATCAGGCTCGATATAGATGCATTCTTTAGCCTCTCTCCACATTGCTTTAAATATTGGAGTACTATCGATATTATAATACTCACTCAAAACTGGAATGTTGCATCCCTTGCCTCCTTTGCTTGATAATGTGGAATGTATGAAATCAAATGATGCAATACGTGAGTGTGTGAAACGTCATGGAAAACCCTATTAAGGAATCCAAAGTCCCTGTCAATTGTTGATAGGGCCCCTTTGATCCAGTTCCATTCCGTTGAATCATAATGAGGCAGCGATAGATGGGTGTGGTGCAAATACGTTATGATAACGAAAAATACATGCACTCCTACCACCGGAACTCCATACATGCAAGTTACCCAAGCGGCTCCTTTTGTTGTTACAGCAATCTTGATTGCATAAAAGACTGCAAGAAGACCAAGATCTGATAACAGGACTTGGATTCGCTCACGCTCGGTGAAAATTGGACTCATGGGATCAAAGTGGTTGGCAAACCTTCCATATTTCTTGCCAGAAATATTAGTTAAGAGGTATAAAGGAAATCCTAGGGTGAACCTAAAAACCAAAGTGAACACTCGATCAGGTGGGTTGTTAAGAAGTTTTGAGTACCACCTGACTTTAGACTTGCGTTTAGGAATGTAAACTTCATCATTATCGAGCGAATTTGTGTTGGCATGGTGATTTCAATGGCTATATTTCCATGAGAAATAAGGTGTCATGAGAGCTGAGTGGAGGATGAAGCCGACAGTGTCATCAATCCATTGGTATTCGCTAAAGGCATGGTGACCGCATTCATGGCCGATGACCCATAAGGCCGTGAGGACGCTTGCTTGACAGAACCAATAGACCGGCCAAGCTAAGTAAGCCAAAGGAGCTGGAAGAAAAGGAATATATGTATTCGCAAGGAAGTAGAAAACGTAGGCAACAATCAGATCGTGAACAACATAGTAAGATGAACGGATGACGGATCGCTTGAAGCAATGGGTAGGGATCGCTTTCTTTAAATCACTTAATGAAAATGGCGGATCAACTGGGACACGTTCCAGAATCTTTTTACCATCAAATGGGTCGTTAGACATCTGACCACCAGCACCCATGTTGTTGATAGATATGATTAACCTGCAAATGTAAAGATTATTGTGAGATTTATGTAAACTAAACATAGAAAGAATTAATTACAAAAACCTAAAGCTCGTGGGAGAAAAAGGACCTGTATAGAGACAAGTTACGTTTGAGATCTCTTCAGCGGGTAATACACTGATACTGTTTTGGGGTTGGCCTTGCTACTTATTTATAGTCAAGAATAAAAAATTATCGCCTCACTTGACCTACTGTCTATTTACCATTATTTCATTGTTTTAGTAAGTTTTACAGTTTAGGAGACGACCATTCCAATTTGGCGGCTTTAGATACTAGACACATTAATTAATGTGTAAATATTTAAATACATAGATTTTGAGAAGTTATGAGACACTCCATATAAATACCACACGCATTATGCATGTGTAAAATTTATATATCTAAAACAAATTATTATTTATTTATAAATAATCCAAATGATTGTTAGTTGTAGAAATATTAACTATTTAATTTTATATCTAAAACAAATTACTATTTAATTTTATATCGTCTAAAAGCATTCATATCACTACAACAAAACAGACCTTCACCCACGACCCTATTTGTGGGTAATTAGTGGGTAATGGTCTTTATCCACGAATTGTCCACGAAACAAGATTCGTGGAAAAAAGCTCGTGGGTAATGTTTTCCTATGGATTACCCTCAGAATCACTCACAAATTATCCACGAACAAATTTACCCATAGATTTACCACAGACAGTTTACCCACAGACAGTCTAGGTAAATAAAATGTATTGTGCATCTGTGTTAAAACATAAAAGTTTTACATAGATCAATGTTAATTCTTTTTGGATCGTAAAAACAACTTTTCAAAACAATATTTATATATATATGATTTATTTTGAGTCTTAGCCGTTTAGTTTGAAAACAACAATAACAATGTATCGCAACAACACCTAAACCAACTACTATTGTTGTCGCTGAAAGAAGGGCTACGCCAACGACATGTCGTCGCCATAGCTTTTGCCAACATTGACCATGATTGTTTGACTTGGAAAGTCATGTGCTGACGACATGAATGGTTGACATGACAGACTCGGCGGGAACGACGATATTTTTTGCAATCTTCTGAAAACCTATGTCAACGACATGTCGTCGGTACAGATTACTAATATGTGCGTATCTATACATACATTTAACATTATATCATAATATCATGCCCATTATAGAACAAAAGATGCGTAATCTATTGTATGTTGTGTTGTAGGGGTAAAAAAAACGCTCGAAGCGAAAAAGAAGCTGGAAGCTGGAAGCTAGGAATTTGGATCAAGGCTAAAATGAAGAAAAATACACTTAACTTGACGTGGTGACACCACCACAAAGTGGCATTTTGGATTTCCCTGATGGATGTAGAAGACTTGTTGAATGATAAACACGAAAGCCACAGCGTGGTGGACTTACCACATCGTGGTGATCGGGTTTCTGGAAAACTATATATATAAGTCATTATCCTCTGAAAACTCAACTTTTGCTGGAGCTATTATCGCCCTTTGAAGACCAAGAGAACCCTTTGAAGCTTGGAGTTACAGAAGGTCGATCATAGCTTGGATTCCATAGATTTGAGGCTATACAACTTCCGACTTCAATTTTCTTCTTTAGTTTAATCATGAATGCTAAGTTGAATTTCGTTTTTCAGTGTTTACTTGTTGAAATCATGGGCTAAAAACCTATGGCTTTCGTTTAGCTAGATTAGATTGCTTGACTTTTTATGGTTTGGATGATGTTTAGTTGGGTATTTGTTACTTTAGCTTATTAAAGAACATTATATGCTTATGAGAACTGCTTTTCTGTTTATTATTGAGTTTAATTGTGTTTGCATGACCATCTTTCTTAATTGAACTTGAATCTTATGATCTTTATGAATTGCAAAATTATAAGAATAGAATTTTGACAAAAACCTTTGGTTAAATAGAAAAGTGGGTAAATAATTGTGGGAGCTAATATATGACAACCAATCATATATTGAATTGATTTAATAAACCAAATTAATCAATCAGGTATAAGTCTAATCTAACTCGAACCGAACACTAGTTAATTTGTTAGTTTATCCGTCTGATCACCGTATGAATGAGCTTATTTGCTAAATGATTAAGTTAGTGAACATTAACTTGGTCTAGGAATTGGTTACCAACGAAGCGTTAATCCATTGAACTTCTATAAATCAATCATAATAGCAAGTATATCGAAGCTAAACAAAAGTCTCTTAATCACCTTGGTTAAAATCATCTTTTGTGATTCTTGTTTTTAATTTAGTTTTTATTTCATTAGTTGATCATATCTACTTTGGTTAATTAAGTTTATAGTCCTGCAAAACTAGAGAAAACCACTTTTTATTAATCAAATAGTAATTTAGGTATTTAGTAGATAAAATTAGCTAAACATTTGGTTATCTGTGTTCGATACCCAACTATTATGCTATTCTATTTTCAACAAGGTACATTGTCTTAGGAATTAATAATTAGTTACATTAGTAGGTTTAACTAGTGCATAATTATTTACACATCAAGCTGTTGGCGCTGTCGTCGAGGAACGGTCCATTTCTAGTTAATTTAAAGATGCTATTTTATTAGGAATTTTTCTGTCTATTTTCTTTTAAATTTTCATTCACGTCGTGGTCATAAGCACCACATCGTGGTGGTGTAATAGTTTTAGTCTTTTTTTGTTCTTTTTAAATGTTTCATTTGTTTTTGTTTCAGTGATTTATGACTTGATGATCAAAGACAACAATCATACCACCGTTTGACGATCATGAGTCAAAATTCCATAAGAAGAAGACAACCAAGCTCAGAGAATGAAGCAAAAGAACTCTACAAAGCGAATTCAAAAGTTTTCAGAAGACTCCTAAAAAAGGAGTCAGGTTACGAGCTAGAAAGCGAACCAGAATGCAACAAAAACGAACCCAAAGCCAGCATGACAGACATTGCCAACATAACGATGGAGACATACAAGAGACGAATGCGTGAAGACAATGAACCAGGACTTGTGCAACCCACAATTTCCAACACAACCAACTTTGAACTGAAAGGAAACATACCTGCTCAACTAAAAGACATATTTCCAACACAGCCAGCTTTGAACTGAGGTCAACGACATCGTCGAATACTTCAACATAGCAAACATACTACGCGAAACAGTTTTGCTAAGAATGCTCCCCATTACTCTTAAGGGTGCAACAAAATATTTGCTAAAGGCACTCCCTCTAGGCACAATAACAAAATGTTCAAAATGCGTAAATAGTTTATACAATAGTTTTGCCCACCTCGTATAGTTTCCAAGTTGAAGAACGATATTGCAAATTTTGAGCAACAAGCGGGAGAGTTACTGGATGAGGCATGAGAGCGTTATAAAGGATTTCTTAGAAACTATCCTCAAATGATCTAAACGTGCAACAAGTGGTCTCAATTTTCTATGATGGAGAAAACGTCACTACTAGGTAACTCCTTGATTCTCAAAGTCGACTCACAAATATGACTAGAAGAATCATGAATTCTGCTTCGGATGACATTCTATAGAATATCATAACCCTCGACAAGATATGACTAGAGGAATCATGAATTCTGCTTCGGATGACATGGCGGTGGTATTAGAAATATTGCATAACATGGATAGGAGGATGACTAAAATGGATCAAACAATCCATGCGATACGAGTGGGGTGTGAAAACTGTAACGAGCCACTTTTAATTAAAGATTGTGGTCTTGATGAAAATGGAAACCGAAATGATCAAGCTTGCTATTCGAGCAGTAATGGTTATGATGAAGACTAGAGAAATCTAAAAAAGAAGTAGTTACCTTATGATAAGTACAAGAAATCCAAGGAAGCGAACTACTTGACGTGAGATCTTAAGGTCATGTTGTGAGTGGCTGTTGACCCGTGTTTTGGAGTCTCACGAAGTGAGACGTAAGGTCTCACGATGGGAACGTAGATTAATGACCCCAACCCTAATTTTCAGGTATTTAAGGGAATGAGAGGCTAGAGTTTCCCACCCTCAGCCGCTCTCACCCTCTAAGCCTCTAGAAACCCTATTTTTCATATCACCCTGAGTTGTTGAGCATTTTGCTTGTAGAAAAGAAGGAAAAAGAAAAAGGAAGAAGTATCTTGGGAAATAAGTTGCTTGGGATCATCATCACCATCAACTTTCATCTTACTTGAACCATTTTAAGTATCAAGGCTCAAGATTGATTGCATTTCATGGCTAGATCTAGGCTTTTGGTCCATTTTCTTATGATTTAGCTTGGTTAGAGTGGAGTAAATCCATAATGTTAGGAATATTATGGATTTAAGTAGCCTTTGGAGTCTTATATCGTTCAAATCTAGGTTTTGGTAGAGTAATAGAGTTTGAAAGAGAATTTGCAGCCACATTTGCCTATTTTGACCACAAATGGTGAAGGGAAATGCAAGTTGCATGCATGCCTATAAAGCAAGGACTTTTATAGACCATTAGGGTCCCCTCTAGCTTCTAGAAAGGGTGAGGTTAGGTTCTAAATGGATTAAGACCATTAAAATAGTGGTTTTGGCTCAGACTGGGCTCACGACATGAGACATAAGGTCTCACGACATAAGGAAGGGTCACCGTCCCCACTGAGTCATCTGGGTTAGGAGTGAGGCACAGATTTGGATCGGACACGTCTCACGATGTGACCAAGGATTGGCCATGACGTGAGGTGTTGTTTTGTTCTTTTGGGCCTTATTGGGCCACTAGTTTCAAACTTAGGGCCTTATCATGTTTGGGCCCATTTGGAGCCTTGTGTGTCATTAAGGAAACTATGCCTTTTTTGGCATTAGGCCGATGATGGGTTTCAGGCTATTTCGGAAGATGGGTTGATAGTGGGATTTTTGTGTTATTGGATTGGGCCTTAGATTTGGACCAAGTGAGGAAGAGGATAAAAGGGTCTTTTACCCTTAGCATTAGGCCAGTAACTTAGATTCTTGATTATGGGTTAAGATCCAATTGTTA